CAGCTGGTAAGCGGTTTGGAGCTAGACCTATGCAATCCTGTGGAAGTGTTTTACACTTTGTCAGTGCAAAACATGCCGAACTTAGCTACCACCAAAACCATTTAGAAGGCGTTGCAACTTACCTGGATCTCCGCTTAGTCGCAGTACCGTGCGGTCGATTGAGTTGAAGGCTGAAGGGTCCGTGTAGCCTTAACAAAGTTTAAAACTAACCTAACTCTCAAACGTACACCGTTCTTATGTGGCAGTCAAGTGCCGGAGTATAACGCCTGCGAGATGCCTCCTTCGGAAAGCGTTATCAACTAGATAGATAAACCATTCATTATAGTTAAGCTCATGAGCAATAAACGTTTTGTCTTTCAGACTTGATGAATTCCGTTGCTTAGGAGTGAATTTTTAGGGCTGGTTCATATAAACTTTGCTCCCATAAAACCTTTTCTCCGGGTTAGGAGTGTCCCACGAATTCGCGTTGACCTCGTCCAACTCTGCGAAATCTGTCCTTTGTGTGTTTTTGGACTACTCTACTACTACTACTTTTAATTCTATTCCCCGTTCCCTTCTTCATAAATTGGAGTCCTTTGGTTGTTCTAGACAGTTATTAGCTTGGCTTGTCGTTTACTTCTCCGGGAGAACTCGGTGTACCAGCTTAGGTCGGAAGAAATCCAAACCGTTGTTGAACAGCTCTTCCAAGGTGCAGTTCTTTACCCATATTTATGTTCTACGTATATTACTGACTTGTTTACTTTTCTCTCCAAGTATACTGACGATGTGGTCTTGTGTCAGGCCATCTCTGACTCTTCTGGCCTTTTACAATTTTCTGACAACTTGGATAACGTCCAACGGCTTTCCGTCACATCGGGCCTATCTCCTAATCCCTCCAAATGTTTCGAATGTCTCTTTACATTATCACGTTCTTCTGTCCCAAGTGAACCGGTATCGATTGGCTCCGAACCAGTATCCCGGGTAAACTGTGTTAAATACCGGAGCGTTTTTATTGATACTAATCTTCACTGGACCTCTCACATTCAACACATCGTCAGTAAGCTTCGATGACTTTCTTTTCGTATCCGTAAACTTCGTCAGTTTCGTATTCAACAATCAATTATTTCCATCTTGGTGTACCAGTGTGTTTTCCCTGTTTTACTTTATTGTTCACCTGTTATTTTCCCAACCTCCTTAGGAAAGATTTTAATTTGCTGCGACGTGAATTGACCATCATTAGCCGTGTCTCGTCAATCCCACTAAAGGAGTTGGTAACTGACCTATATGAACGTCATTTGAATGCATGTGAAAAGTTTGCGCATAAGATTCTCATCGACTCCACACATCCGCTACACGCTGATCTAACTTTCTGTTGTTCCCATCCGTCGAATAGATCAAAATGTCGTTGTGCTCCATCTCGAATAAACATTTATCGTAACTCCACAGTACCCTCATTAGCACGTATTCTTGTTAACAAAGAACAGATTTTCACAGACGTTGTTAACAGTTTTAGGATTTAAATCTTTTTTCATCGTTATTTTTATTTTCTTCCTTGCTCGAAAATGTATATTTGTAACTGAAATGTGGGCTTCATGCTTGCAAAAGTTATTACAATACAATACAACCAATCGTTATTATTTTCCCCTCTCATTTTTGCTGCCCCTTTCAAAATCTTCACCCGTACTCTCTTCTTAGTACCGGACATTTTATTTCTTGCATTGACCATTTTCTCCGCGGAATCGATCCATCGCAACATTTTAATGAGGCCCTATCGTTAGTTAGGAAGTCATGTGACATTCCTCACGTGGTTTATTTTGTATGTTGTCCACTGCTGTGATTCTTGGTGGCTATTGTTGTCGTTTTTCTCCCCGTACCGAATTTCGATATTCACCACTGGTTCGGAACTCGGCTAACTTGTGATACCCATGTAGGTGTCACACTTTTCCAGGACTGTTTATTTATGTTTGTATATACGTGCGTTTTCGTTCAGCTTTAGTAATGATTCAGCCTTTTTAGGTCCCGCGGAGTGATACGCTGTTTTTTCACCAGAAGGTTATTACCAATGATCAATAAAGTCCGCTTAATTTAAGATCCTGATCAATTTTATCGATGCGCTCGTCCGCTTTCGTTCTATCGGTTCAACTACAATGAACTGTTTTTTCCCGGTTCCTTTTGACAACACAACTCGTCGATCTTGTAAATGGACAGTTTCACCTGTTCCGTCTACGGGGGTAACACTCTTTCGAAAATGCCACTTCGTGTTTTTCCCCATC